TCGGCCTCCCAAAGTGCTGGGATTACAGGAGTGAGCCACCACGCCCGGCCTATTTTACTCTTAAGAATTAACTCAAAAAATCCTTTCTTATTATGAATTGAAAGTAAACACTGGGCAAATTCAGCCCAATCTTAATCTTTCCCAGACTTGGAAACATTATTGAAGACAATGAGGGGACAGTCAGCTTTCGCTGAGCTTCTCTGAGGCCCGTGAGGTAAAAGCCCAGGGCTTATTGGCTACACCTTTGAACATTACTGTCTTTCCTTCCATGATCCACGCCCAGGCCATTCTCTAAATCTGAGAGTCCTGTGCATCTTCAATAATTTCATAATCTCACTGCCTCTTGGTCTTGTTTTCTGCAGCTGAGAAACAGAACCCTCAGCAGTAGAGCCCAGTGTAAATCACCAGCCTTTAATTAAACTATGGTTTTAAAACAGCGCTGTGAATTACATAACGATCCTACTCTATGGCAGAACTTCCACTAAATCGCGGAGCTCAGAGTGGCCAGCATGGAGGTGTGTGTGTATATGTGCACTGCTGGAGACATTTCCTGTTACTGTACATTACTGTAGGTAGTAATGAGGTCAATCTGAACTAACAGATGTCTCCATGGCCTTATGAGCACAGAAACAACCTCCAGTGCAGGTGCAAAGCAAGGCTGCAGCAGTCAGCCAGATGCTCCCCTGGGATCCCAACAGTCAGCCAGCTGCTCCCCTGGATCCCAACCATCAGCCAGCCACTCCCCAGGATCCCAACAGTCAGCCAGCCGCTCCCCAGGATCCCAACAGTCAGCCAGCCGCTCCCCGGGATCCCAACAGTCAGCCAGCCGCTCCCCGGGATCCCAACAGTCAGCCAGCCGCTCCCCGGGATCCCAACAGTCAGCCAGCCGCTCCCCGGGATCCCAACAGTCAGCCAGATGCTCCCCTGGGATCCCAACAGTCAGCCAGATGCTCCCCTGGATCCCAACAGTCAGCCAGATGCTCCCCTGGGATCCCAACAGTCAGCCAGATGCTCCCCTGGGATCCCAACAGTCAGCCAGATGCTCCCCTGGGATCCCAACAGTCAGCCAGATGCTCCCCTGGGATCCCAACAGTCAGCCAGATGCTCCCCTGGGATCCCAACAGTCAGCCAGCCGCTCCCCGGGATCCCAACAGTCAGCCAGCCGCTCCCCGGGATCCCAACCGTCAGCCAGATGCTCCCCTTGGATCCCAACAGTCAGCCAGCCGCTCCCTGGGATCCCAACAGTCAGCCAGATGCTCCCCGGGATCCCAACAGTCAGCCAGCCACTCCCCTGGATCCCAACAGTCAGCCAGCCACTCCCCTGGGATCCCAACAGTCAGCCAGATGCTCCCCTGGGATCCCAACAGTCAGCCAGCCGCTCCCCGGGATCCCAACAGTCAGCCAGCCGCTCCCCGGGATCCCAACAGTCAGCCAGATGCTCCCCTTGGATCCCAACAGTCAGCCAGCCGCTCCCTGGGATCCCAACAGTCAGCCAGATGCTCCCCGGGATCCCAACAGTCAGCCAGCCACTCCCCTGGATCCCAACAGTCAGCCAGCCACTCCCCTGGGATCCCAACAGTCAGCCAGCCGTTCCCCTGGATCCCAACCATCAGCCAGCCACTCCCCTGGATCCCAACAGTCAGCCAGCGGTTCCCCTGGATCCCAACAGTCAGCCAGCCGCTCCCCGGGATCCCAACAGTCAGCCAGCCGCTCCCCGGGATCCCAACAGTCAGCCAGCTGCTACCCTGGGGTCACTCCAATACCCTGTTCAAAGCCTCTGTTCACTCATGGGCTGAGAAGAGGGAAGTCAGCGATACAGTCTGCTCTTCCTAAAGGGCTGACAGGGCACAAAGAGAAGTTGATTATCCACGGAGCATTTCTGCAGGAAGGCACCGGTGTGCAGACACACTAGTAAGCACACACTTCTTTACCTAATACATTTTTAATGTTTTGTTGATTTAACCTCTATCACTTAAAAACGTTCAAAAAAATAAAAATAATAATGTTCATCACTTTTTTTCCCTAATCAAAGAGGATTTTGATCAGAAGGCTTGTGAGAAGCCTGCTGCTCTCCAGATTCCCACCCTCATTTCTCCTGAAGAAGGAACGTCATCCATTAGTTTCTGCTGTCATTCTCTAGGACTAAACCACAGGGTCGCATGGGCCCTGGTGAGCCTCAGAGAGGACCCTGTCTGTAGGGGCAGGAGCCTCACAGCCTTGACTGAGAGCCGTGGCCCTGAAATGAGGCGGTGTCCCCCATGGAGAGCACACTCGGATGCCCACACCTTCAAACGTATCTCATTTAAGTCATCACCATTGTTTTCTCCTTCAGTAACAAGAAGGAGCCACTGTCTGCCCACGAGCATTTTAACCTAATGTACGGTCCAGCCGAGTTGTTAACACACACAAATGCCATGACCTCTGTCTAGTCCTAGAGTCCTGATTAATTCTTCTTTGGGGATGAGCAGGCCCTAGAAACACGCCCCATTCACATAAACACAGGCACGCCGTTGACGTGTTCTTCTGTGTGAGCAAGAGTTCACACCAGCCTCCCTCCAACTCCAGGAGCCCCTGAAAACCAAGATTAACTCGTCCACACCTGTGCAGACTCCGGCCCAGGGACGGTCTGCTGAGGAGTGGGCCCACCGGGTCCTGGATGCTGGGCTCATCTCTTCCCTCTCCTGTCCCAAAGCAGGTCCATCATCCTGCTGAGGTCCAAACAGGAGCGTCCAGGTTTGTGTGGCCATCTGAGTCTTCCAATATAGAGAAGACCTCCTATTACCTACCATATTCAGTGCATGGGGCTTGTATAACAAAATACCACCGGTCAGATGGCTCTCGACACAAAACTGATTTCCTCACAGTTCTGGAGGGTGGAAGTCTACGGTCAGGGGCCAGCTAGCTGGGTTTCGTCTGAGGCCTGGCTCCTGGCCTGCAGATGACGTCTCTTCCCTGTCCCGTCCTCACAGGGCCGGCCCTCGGGGCGTGCTCACCCTCCCTGCTGCTTCCCTTCTCACACCAACAGTCAGATTGTATGAGGGCCACACTCCAGGAACCTCACTTTCACTCATTCACCCCCTTAAAGACACTGACCCAACTATGATTTCATTCTGAAGGAGCAGGGTTGGATTTCAGCACATGAATTTACGAAGATCACAGTCACTCATAACAGCCTTATCCTCCTTCTCCTTCCTGGGAAAACCCTAAAGGCCCAGGGAAAGCGTGTCCAGCCTGCACACTCCTACAGGGAAACCGGCTTCATGATTGTTCATCTGTCATAGAAAGGTGGGATTCAAAGGGATGCAATACGGGATCACAGGGCATCGGGGGACCAAGTGTGACACGACAGAGCCTTGAAATACTCCACGATCACGCAAAGTTTAAAGACGGACCACGTTTGCCGGGAAAGGGAATCACTTACCGTTGTGAGGAAGAACTCACTTGTGTTTCTGAATATGATCTGGCCTTGGGTTTTTCTCTCCCCTCAGAAGCACCGACAGAATTGACAGAAATATGTGAAATATTTGTTCTCAGACCTGAGACACCCACAGAGGTCCCCCTGGGTCCTTCCCCGGGAACTGATCGGCTCGTCCATCTGTAGAAATGACCAAGGAGGGAACCGCACAGAAGCATCCCGGGCACCGCACCTGAGCTCCCGTGGGGTCAGGAGCACGTCTGTTCCTGACAGGTGGATGAGGTAAAAAGCGTGATGGTTCGCAAAGCTTTTTCATAGCGCAGAAGAAAAAGTGACCCTGTATCAAGTGTTCATCTTGTGAACCCAAGAAATCTGAGCCAGATCTGAGTTAATTTAGAAAGTTTATTGTGCCACGGCGGAGGACGTGCCTGAGGAAGTCCCGATGACACGTGCCCGAGGAGGTTGGGCACAGCCTGGTTTTATGCATTTCGGGGCATCAGGAGACATCAGCGAATACGCGAAAGAAGTACATTAACCCCATCCGGAAAGGCTGAGAAACTGAAAGCCGGGCCTTGCTGGGGCTTCCAGGTCACAGGTAGGTGACAGACAGGGTCTCACTCTTTTGAGTTTCTGATAAGCGTTTCCAAACGAGGCAAACGGAATCTGCGTCTGTCTCTGTGGCAGAGGGACGCCCCTTTGAATACAGTGGGAGGCAGATTTCCCCTGAGTGTTTCCAGCTTGAAGGTGCCCAAGGTATTTTCCTTTCACAATCTGGTGACCCCCAAACAGAACTTCAAAGCCTAAACAAAACAAAACAGCCAAAAAGAGAGGGCACCTATGAAGCCTGAAAACCATTCAGCCCTCCAGAGAGACAGGGGCAGCATCTGCCACCGCATGACAGAGAAGTGAGCTGTGAGTCACAGGAAGCAGTAATGTTCACCCACAGAGAGACCAAGAGTGACACATGACGGAGCCACAGGCGAGGTCACTGACCACTCTGCACCCACAGAGACCGAGAGTGACATGTGATGGGGCCACAGGCGAGGTCACTGAACACAACACCCACAGAGAGACCAAGAGTGACACGTGACGGGGCCACAGGTGAGGTCACTGAACACTCCACACCCACAGAGAGACCGAGAGTGACACGTGACGGGGCCACAGGCGAGGTCACTGAACACTCCACACCCACAGAGAGACCGAGAGTGACACGTGACGGGGCCACAGGCGAGGTCACTGAACACTCCACACCCACAGAGAGACCGAGAGTGACACGTGACGGGGCCACAGGCGAGGTCACTGAACACTCCACACCCACAGAGACACCTAGAGTGACACGTGATGGGGCCACAGGCGAGGTCACTGAACACTCCGCACTGAGAAGGCAACAGAACACACAGCGTGGTAAGACACAGCCCTGCTGCCCCCACCCTTTCCCTTCCAGGTGAGCCCTCACAGCCCTGACCCTCGCCTCATCCCGCAGGCAGTGGCTGCCATCCTGTCCAGACCCACCCGCTGCCCCACCCTGGGACTGTTACCTCATCCCCTCAGGGAGTCCAGGTGCCCCAGGGCTGTGATGCGGGAGCCTGGGGAGACCCTTTGTTCTCTGTCAGGGTCTCCCTGGGAGGGACGTGGTCAGCGCAGATGGTCGGGGCCTGGCTTCCCTGAGGACGGTCCTTTCCCATTCTCTGTGGATGAATATCCCCGGGCTGGGACATGAGGCCGGCAGAGGTGCAGGTCGTCCTTAGGGCCACCCTCTTGCTGCTGGGACTCTGGGCGCCCCTGGCTCCAGTCCACTGTTCTCAAGGCCATCCTTCGTGGCACTACGCATCCTCCGAGGTGGTGATCCCCCGGAGGGAGACGCACCACGGCAAAGGCCTTCAGTTTCCCGGCTGGCTGTCCTACAGCCTGCATTTTGGGGGTGAAAGACACGTCCTTCACATGCGCAGAAAACACCTTCTCTGGCCCAGCCGTCTGCTGGTGACAACTCAGGATGACCAGGGCGCCTTGCAGATGGATTACCCCTACATCCCCGCAGACTGCTACTACCTCGGCTACCTGGAGGAGGTGCCTCTGTCCATGGTCACCGTGGACACCTGCTACGGCGGCCTCAGCGGCATCATGAAGCTGGACGACCTTGCCTACGAAATCAGACCCCTGCAGGATTCCCCCAGGTTTGAACATGTTGTTTCTCAGATAGTGGCCGAGCCCAACGCAACGGGGCCCACATTCAGAGACGGTGAAAATGAGGGGACAGACCCCCTGCTCTCCGAACCAAGTGACAGCATGAATCCCAGGTTATCTAATTTCCTGTATAGCTCTCATACAGGCAACATAAAAGGTCATATTCAATGTTCTAATTCATATTATAGGACATATAACAACATTACAGCTTGTTCCAAAGACGTGGTCCGGATGTTCAGTCTCGTGGACAGCATCGCTCAGAACATTGATCTGCGGTACTTTATTTACCTCTTGACCATATATAATGACCGGGACCCGGCCCCAGTGAATGAGTATGGAACAAACAGTGCAATTTTTGCTTATTACGGAACAACCTTTTTTACTCCTTTCGGTGTCCATTCATCCACACTACTCATTCAAGACGGACCACACGAGTCTAACTACGCACCTCAGCAGTATAGGATGTGTCACCGTGAAGGCCTGATACACATCGGGGTGCTGAGCAGACATTACTTACTGATCGCCGTCATAGTAATGCAGTCGTTGATGAGGAGCATCGGGGTGCCCTATGATGACATGTACTGTACGTGCCAGAGGAGGACCTCGTGCATCATGCAGCGATTTCCAGGGATGACAGACGCGTTCAGTAACTGCACCTACGCACACGCACAGAACAGTTTCACGGCTGTCGCCCAGTGCATTTTCCAGAAACCGTCCCCCGTGTATAATAAAAGCATGACCACCATTCGCTGCGGAAACCTGATAGTGGAAGGGAGTGAGCAGTGTGACTGTGGCTCCTTTAAGCAGTGTTACAGCAGCCAGTGCTGTGGGAGCAACTGTCGCCTCACACTGGGGAGCCTCTGTCACACAGGGGACTGCTGCACAAACTGCACCTTCTCCCCGCCGGGGACTCTCTGCAGACCTATCCAAAACATATGCGACCTTCCAGAGTACTGTCGTGGGACCGCCTTGCTGTGCCCCCCAAACGTTTACATGCAGGATGGAACCCCGTGCACGGAAGAAGGCTACTGCTACCACGGGAACTGCACGGACCGCAGTTTGCTCTGCAAGGCGATCTTTGGTGTCAGCGCAGAGAATGCTCCCGACGCCTGCTATAACATAAACCTTGAGAGTTACCGGTTTGGACACTGTACTCGACAGTATGATTCTCACACTTACCAGCCTTGCGCGGGAATCGACAAGTTTTGTGGCAGACTGCAGTGCACCGACGTCACCCATCTGCCCCGGCTGCAGGAGCACGCGTCATTCCATCACTCTGTGGTAGGCCGGGCTCAGTGCTTTGGGCTGGACGAACACCGTGGGACGGGCACAACCGATGTCGGGCGTGTGATCGACGGCACTCCCTGCGCTGGTGGAAAGTTCTGCAATAACAGCCGGTGCAACGCCACCATCGCGTCCCTGCACTACGACTGCCACCCTGAGAAGTGCGGTCACAGAGGGCTTTGTAACAACAGGAGGAACTGCCACTGCCACATCGGCTGGGACCCGCCCCGGTGCCTGGCAAGGGGCGCTGGGGGCAGTGTCGACAGCGGGCCCCCTCCGAAAAGAATGCGTTTCATCACACAAAGCGAACAACCTGCGATATATCTGAGGGTGACCTTTGGCCGCGTTTACGCCTTCATAATTGCACTGCTGTTTGGGGTGGCCACAAATGTGCGGACTATCAGAACCGCCACCGCTAAGGAAGTGGCAGTTACGGACCCTGAATAAGAAAAATGCAGCCTCCCCACCTCTGTAAAGACAGAGAGAATATAAAAGCCAAACCCGTGAAACAGGAGCAGGAGGACGGACGGCAAAGCTCAAATCCACATTTCTTGAAGTCCGTGGGAGGCACTGGGGGAAACGGGAGGCGCTGGCTTCTGTCCCAGGTTCTCGTAGGTCGCTGATGCTCACCCTAAAATAAATCTTCAAAATCGCATTGGTGCCTTTTACTTTTTCTTAGACTCCGCAGGGAGCCCAGACTCGGCCAGAGCCTCTGGCCTGGCGAGGAGACCTGAGTGAGCAGCCGGGCCTTGACCTGAGGTCGCTGGTCCCAGAATGAACGGAAGTTGCCACCAGGTCCTTAAAAGGCACATTGATGGCATTTCTCCAGAAGTGAGCTCCTGAGCAACGGGCTTCCTCTTTCCCCGGGTCATCTGTCCTTCTCTAAACCCAAAGTGAGCTTACAGTCATCCAAGGCTGCTCCCTGTTCCGTCTGTTCCCCATGGGAATGCCTGTGGGCCTTGCAGTGAGACGAACTTGGGTTCAAATCCCCCACCAAGCAAGTCTCCCTACCTGGGGTCGAACTTCCCGTATGTGGGAAACTGAGTCCCTGAGGTTGACTGCTGTATGCAATGAAATTCAACTCGAAAAACAGGTAGACGTGTGGGGCAAGTTCCCTGGCATTCGGTGGGAGCTCTGTGAATGGCAGCGGCCCCCTCCCATCCTGCCCCCACATTTCCATGAATGGAAGCAGGAAGGGAAGCTGAGTAGGTCACCACGAGGAAGAGAAACTAGGTTTAGCAGCCCAGGCTGGTCTGGGTGGAAAACAGGGCGAGGTGTGTCGCTAAGTTACTGTAAAGGGAAATGAAAGTTCAATGTATAAATAACTGAATGAGATAAAATTTTATTTTGAATTCAAATTCACAATGATATTGACTTTTAAATGCAATGCGCATATGTCACAGAGAATTTCGAAGACAAAGCCACAAACAGAGGAAATCACGCTTCCCATACCATCCGCGGAAACCCGCCGACATTCTGGAGCAGTTCTGAGATGTGGCGTTTTCTCAGTCCCTCTGTGTTCTAGCCCTGCTTCGACAGACAGAGTTTAGGATTCCAGCCCCTTTCTCCAAACACAGCCTGACATCCTTCCTGTGAACCTGCTTAGAAATTTCCTCCATTCAGCTGACATAAACACGCGCGCAATCCATTCCTGTGCCTCATTCAGTCTATTTTGTCTTTTGTGGGTGCACGCTACTGGACGGATAAGTGTGAGGTCAGTGAATACCACACCCTCCCCTTGCGTGCCTTTCGGGAGCGAGGGGTTTCGCTGATGTAGCAGCAGGCCTGTCCCACTCTCTGTGCATCTTACCCCTCTGCTGTTCAGCCGACCTCTCCCCTGGGGCATGGGTGTTCCCCAGGGGGAATGACTTCCTCTTTCCAGGGCCCACCCACCACAAGTGCACACAGGAGACCACCCTGCACTTGGCAGAGCTCCACCCCATGTCGGGGCCTGTGTCGCCTGCTGCACCCGCTACACAGATGGGACCCACAGGGACACCGCTCAGGGCAGTGGGGGAAGTATGTAGGAAAGGAAGGCAAATGTGCATTCTGTCGGAGAGACATTATAGGTAGTTTGAGCAAAAATCTGATGCCGTGCGAACTTTTAGAATGATACATATTTTAAGAAAGAACGTGACCAATCGAGTTCACGTTGAAGTCAGGTAAACGCTGTTTAGAACAACAGCGATATCAAAAACACAAGCCAACGGTTCACCAGGAGAAACCACCCTTAATGCCACGGAAATGGTCTTCCACCAGCGTTAGCGTTTGCATCCTCCGGAGCCGCAGGCCTCGGCACCTGCTGCCTTGACCTGACCTGTGTCACCTGCTCCACCCGCTACACAGATGGGACCCATGCTCTGACCTTAATCACAGAGCGTGTGTGATGCCCTGCTTTTTGCCAGCTAAAACTAACTCCCCTTTTCCTGACTAAAAGCTGTTCTGGCTTTATGGGAGCCTTTTTGAGCCGGACAGACGCCATCTTGGCTTCTGCATTTTCGTAACCTGCCCCCCATCAAGTGTGCAACTGGAATATAAACCGAGGTCAGGCTGACTCTGAGCGCCCAGAAATGGCTTTGTTGGTAAGTGGCCGCGTAAAGTGGAAATGCAGCTGCGGTGAGCGCCCGGAGCCCCCTTATCTCTAAGTTGTGTGTCTTCCATGACGGCTGCACTCCTCACACCTGGCACTGTTTTCTTTCTTACGTATCAGTTTTTTCTTTTGACTTTGTGCTTACTCTGCCTGTGTGAAAACTTTGTTTCGGCTGGGTCCCCCTACCTGTTAAAACTAGGGTATGAAAGACCACCTCACTTTTTCTTCAGGGCCGAGAGAATTTTGGGTGTTGGCCACTCTCGGTTGCCGGCTTAACAAAGGACTCATCATTCATTCTCAGAGTGTGGCGCATTCCTTGACTCGCTCGGATACAACACATGGTAATGCTGAGAGCCACCCTGATGGATCTCCTGTATTCAGTCCACACTCTTCCTTACCTCCATCGTGGGGTTGTAGACTGACTTCCTCTTGATACTTGGATCCAGGCGCCCCAGCCAACACTGTAACTCCCTCCGTAGCCTGTTGACTTAGAGGTAGGAGGAGCCCAAAGTGCCCAGGTGGCATCTTAACCTCCAGTTCAATCGCATCGTTCTTGCGTCTCCTGGTGGCAGCGTTCCTCCCGCTGGAACCAAGACCTCCAGGCCAGCAGACCATAATGCCACGGGAACAGGAAGCAAAAATGTTGCTAGTAGGTCACTAGGGGTGATGGTGAGTGGTGCCACTTCCACCTCCACCCCTTGATTCCTGGATCCATGAATATTGGCCGTGGGAGAAACAGTGCCACATATTGGATGCTGATTCAGAGCATACAGGGTCTTCTGGAGAGCCTTGCCCCAGCCCTGCAAAGTATTGTCACCTAGCCAGCATTATAATTGTGACTTTGAAAGGCCATTCCATTGTCTGTCAATCTAGCTGCTTCAGCGTGAAGGGGAGACATGGTAAGACAACTGAATTCCATGAGCATGAACCCACTGCCACAGTTCTTCAGCCACAAAGGAAATGCCTTGGCCAGAGGCAATGCTGTGTTGGAACACATGACGGTGGATAAGGCATTCCGCGAGTCCACGGATGGTTGCATGCAGGGTAGGCAAACCCACACCCGGAGTAAGTGTCTGTTTCAGTGAGGACAAACTTCTGCCCTTTCCATGAGGCAAGAGGTCCAGTGTAATCCAACGTGCCACCAGGTGGCTGGCTGATCACCAGGAGGAAGGGTGCCATTTGGGCGGGGACACAGAGCCAAACCGTATCACCCCACCCCTGCCCCTCCAAAATCTCATGTCCACTCTGCATTTCAAAACCAATCATGCCTTCCCTACAGTCCCCCCACGTCTTAACTCATTTCAGCATTAACTCAAAAGTCCAAGTTCAAAGTCTCATTGGGGATAAGGCAAGTCCCTTCCACCTAGAAACCTGGAAAATGAAAAACAAGTCAGTTACCTCCAAGAAACAATGGGAGTTCAAACATTAGATAAACGTTCCCATTTCAGATGGGAGAAATGGGCCAAAACAAAGGAGCTACAGGATATATGCAAGCCCAGAATCCAGTGGGGCAGTCATTAGATTTTAAAGCTCCTTTTCTAGAGTAAGTGTGATGTGGTGCTGAGAAGAATGTATATTCTGTGGATTTGGGGTGGAGAGTTCTGTAGATGTCTATTAGGTCTTCTTGGTCCAGATCTGCATTCAAGTCCTGGATATCCTTGCTAATTTTCTGTCTTATTGATCTGTCTAATTGGGAGTAAATCACTCCTCAGCAAACGAAAAAAACAAAAATCATAACAGTCTCTCAGACCCCAGTGCAATAAAATTAGAACTCAGGATTAAGAAACTCACTCGAAACCACACAACTACATGGAAACTGAACAACCTGCTTCTGAATGATGACCGGATAAACCATGAAATGAAGGCAGAAATAAAGATGTTTGTCAAAACCAATAACAACAAAGACACAACGTACCAGAATCTCTGGGACACATTTAAAGCAGTGTGTAGAGGGAAATTCATTGCACTAAAAGCCCACATGAGAAGGAAAGATCTAAAATCAGCACCCTAACATCACAATTTAAAAAACTAGAGGAGCAAGATCAAAAATACTCAAAAGCTAGCAGAAGACAAGAAATAACTAAGATCAGAGCAGAACTGAAGGAGACAGAGACACAAAAAAAAAACCTTCAAAAAATCCATAAATCCAGGAACTGGTTTTTTTGAAAAGATCAACAAAATAGACCACTAGCCAGATTAATAAAAAAGAAAAGAAAGAAGAATCAAATAGATGCAATAAAAAATGATAAAGGGGATATCACCACAGATTCCACAGAAATACAGACTACCATCAGAGATTACTACAAACAACTCTATGCTCATAAACCAGTAAATCTATAAGAAATGGATAAATTCCTGGACACTTACACCCTCCCAAGACTAAACCAGGAGGAAGTTGAATTCCTGAATAGACCAATAACAAAGTCTGAAGTTGAGGCAGCAACTAAGAGCCCACCAACCAAAAAAAGTCCAGGTCCAGATGGGTTCACAGCCAAATTCTACCAGACATACAAAGAGGAGCTGGTACCACTCCTTCTGAAACTATTCCAAACAATACAAAAAGAGGGAATCCTCCCTCACTCATTTTGTGAGACCAACATCATCCTGATACCAAAACCTGGCAGAGACACAACTAAAAAAGAAAACTTCAGGCCAATATCCATGATGAACACAGATGTAAAAATCTTCAATAATATACTGGCAAACCAAATTCAACAACACATCAAAAAGCTTATCCACCACGATAAAGTAGGTTTCATCCCAGGGATGCAAGGCTGGTTCAACACACGCAAGTCCATAAACGTAATCCATCACATAAACAGAACCAAAGACAAAAGCCACATGATCTCAATAGATGCAGAGAAGGCCTTCAGCAAAATTCAACAGCCCTTTATGCTAAAAACTCTCAATAAACTAGGTATCAGTGGAACGCATCTCAAAATAATAAAAGCTATTTACGACAAACCCACTGCCAATATCATACTGAATGGACCGAAACTGGAAGCATTCCCTTTGAAAACTGGCACTAGACAAGGGTGCCTTTTCCCACCACTCCTATTCACCATAGTATTGGAAGTT